AAAGCTCACCCTCCTTGATGGACAGAAAAGACACCATTCATACTCACCCCCCCACACACACATTCCTGCTTAGAGTAGCACACCAGAAACAGAAATGCTTCCACAAGGAAGATGTGTTCCCGGATGACTCAACACCTGAACAATTCAGCCATCTTGCGTCCCAATCACTGGGAATAAATGGGATATCAAACAGATATTATCCTAATTACAACCTTTATAAAAATAATTGTTGCTTCTCCTTGCCATTAAATCTAGGAATACTTGCGGTCTTAACCAAGACAACCACTAGCGAACATCTCACAGTTGTGTGACCATGGAGCTCCCGGAACACTGGTCATCTTCATGCAGGCGGCAAGAAGCCACTTACCAGAGTATGTTGTCTGAGCCCTCACGGGGGGGGGGGGATTTCCACACCATCCTCACCCCCCCATAGTCCCTTCCCACAGTCAAGTCCACCAGCAAGCATCCAACAAGCAGTTCGTAGGACAAGAGGTGGTAGACCTGACAATGGGAAGAAACCAATTCTTTCTCTCTCTCTCTCTGTTAAATATATTAAGTTTGGCTCGCATAAAATTAAAGAGGATGTAAATGTTGATTGATCTGTTTAAAAAATCAGGATGAAGAGCATTTAAAAGGTAGATTTTAGCCCCAGAGGTATGATAAGTGCCAGCTGGAATTAGGGTTTAAGGGAATGGCAACTATTCTGAATTAGCAAGTGAAAGGGATGGTGGCTTCATTTCCACAGCTCCAGAATATTGATCCCACTGGCTTTCGACCAAACTTCAGTTGCTTGCCTTCTGTGCTTATCCTAAGATATCAGAACTGAGCTCTGTAGCTTTGCAAAAGAACAGGAGGAGGTGGCTGAAAGCATCTTACAACCTTATCTTCAGAGCTCTGATATCTGGAAACACTATATAAATACTCAGATTGTTAGTACTACAGCGGCCTGAAGTCCTAAGCTCAGGTGGGAGAATGCTGGACTCAGGACCGGAGAAGCCTGAACAGAGCTCTGTCCCTCCAGGCTGAGTTTCCCATTTCCAAAAATAAGGACCGTGCGCAGAGATCACCAAGCTGCGCAGGCATACGAGTTCCATGATGACAGATAAAGAGTGAAGAGTATACCGCTTCCGTTGAAGGAGAACGGCCAGCAAGTACCAGCAGAAATGGCAAGATACCAGCCACAGGCAGGATGGTAATTCTGCATGCTTTACAACTGTGAGCAACTTACTCAAGTGCCTACTTGCCTCAGCAACACGATCAGGCCGGGGCTGAGCGAGACAACAGCCAACACGCTCTCTCCCCTTTCCTTCTTTTCAGCTTGGACCAAACGGCCTACCTAGGGCTCCTAGTGACAGAGAAGGACTTTGCCAGGGTTTCCCCCACCTTCTCAACATTTGCTTGACAGAGGGCTGTGTTCTGTCTTTTAAACAGAGATGTGCAATTTGTAAATACTGCATTACATCACAGAAGGGCTCCTCCATATTTGGTGATTTCACATGCCTGCACTGCACAAAAGAGCCCTTCCGAAAAGCCCGAGTTTCAATGGATGTGCATGCCATGTGCCAAAATGGGCAGTGCCACACACAACATAGTGGTTTAACCGACACCCTGCACAGACTCACGCCACTACTTTGCTTCTGTGACCCCGCACACAGGCACACTCACAAATGTTGCCAACCCAATCAGCATCCTCGCTGTTTATTCTTAATACATATAAATTATTCCACTTATTTATCTGAGTAGTCGGGCGGATCAAGTAAAGCCTATGATAATCAGAAGTTTGGATAAACGAGAGTGTTGCTTATGTAGAGTAACTATGGCAAGAGGTTACACAGCGGACATTCGACAAATATATAATATCAGATTTGGAACATGGATAACAATGGCTCTGGTTAAAGAAGGAAAGCTGGGCCATATTCTTCACCTATAAAGCCAAGCATATGGGAACTGCTATCAGAAATTGTTGTGGGGGGTTTGCTTTCTTATGACAAGCCACGCGGAGGCATACATGTAATTAAAATATTTAAAAATTGCTGCTATCTTAGCTGGGAGGAAGAGAAGCAAAGGATAATCTTTTATTTGATTAACTAATTTAAAAAATTTCGATGGGAATTGTCAAATGACACAAAACACTTCATCTGCCACTTAGTCAAAGAAAAGTATTAATTCCAGAGCAAATGCTTATCCTGAATCTACATACAACACATGCACACATTACCCACAGATAAAGAATTCTGTGTAGCCTGCAAGTTTTCACCTGTCTTTCTTTGTTCAGAAGAGCCAATACTAATACAAAAAGAAAGTTCTACTAAAGTATATAAAGCAAGAACAAAAAGCAAGCAAGAACAAAAAAAATAATGTGTGCATAACATATCTGTACATCTTTGCCACATAGGGCCAAAGCAAGAACTCAACTTAAAAATGCAGCGAACTGCAAAGAGGCCAATTCAAGTTCTGCTCTTTGGTGATGTTCTAAGCTCCTTAGTCATTCTGAAGGTTTTCTTCATTTATGTTCCAATTCTAAATTGGCAACCAAAATGTGCATTTTTCGCAATGAAAAGTCATTTTTGCTTCACACACACACTATTGCACCAAAAATAGCAAACCAGCCTGCAAAATCCACACACACAAATACTGTTTGATTTTCAAAGTCAACTGTCAAAAGACCTAAGCCATGCATTTCAAAATATATGATTTCAAAAACTTAGCAACTTTGCAGTCAGATTTGATTCTTCACTTTTGTGCTGGCTGGACCAGAGCTGCCATAGATATGCAAAGCTGATTTTAATTACTGCATTCTGGGTGGGGTGGGGGGGCAGAGAGAAGTGACAGAATGAAGAGTGTCTGTCAGTTCCAGCCGTAGGAAGCTCATCTGTTAACACCCACCCATGTTAGCTGAGCGATGCCAACGAAAATGGCCTGTGAATTGCTCCCTTATTTAGGGGGTGGGTGGGTGGGGGGGTGGGTGTGTGTGTGTGTGTGTGTGAGAGAGAGAGGGGTAGGTGAGAGGGAACACATGTGACTTACACACAGCTCTTCTCCTAATGCCACAACATCCCCGAGGCTATTAAAACAATAATGCAAGTGATAACTTTATGCTAACTGTTCTGGCCTTCCCTTCTGCTTATCAGATCTTTGTCAATTTTGGTGCTGCATATTTTTAAAGCAGTATTGAAGGCCAAAATAAAGCATGCTTGTTTGCCATCTGGATACTAACAACAATCACGGGCCTTATTAGCCTTGCGGAATTAACGGACCTCTCGCCGTGTGTATTAACTTCAAACGTCTTTTTACTTCGCGTTTTCTTCTCCCTTTTCTTAATTCGTGCACACAGAGCATATGGAAGCATCCTGCCAATCTTTTTTTTTTTAATTATTACCTACAGGGAAAGACATCCGTTACTTTTCATTTTACTTTATTTTTCCTTAATTACGCAGTGAGATTTTATGCCACTGCCCGCAAATCCAATCCTCCCTGGACATTTGTATGGGTGACATGTGGCAGTGTAAAGCTGCAGAAGAAAATCAAGATACATCTGTCAAAACCACATCAGAGACAAGAGACAGAGCGGGGGGGAACATTTATCATTTGGCTGAGGAGGCAAGATCGTGGAGAGAAGCCTTCTCCCCCGTCAAACCAACCTTTTGAGATTTTGAACATGCCCTTAAACTTTTCAAATAAGCAAGCCGATGCACCTCCAAAACTGCCCTCTCGATTCCGGCCTGGGCAGTGGAAAATGGCAGCTTAAAGTCAAGGTCAGCTGTGTCACTTCGCCAAGGGGCTGCCTTTAATTACAACCCACGCAGTGACAGCCAATATGGATTGGAGGCTGGGGGATATTAACCCTTCCTCCTCTCCCCCACCCTGAGCTTGCACAAAATTATAATTAAAAAGAAAAACATTTTTAAAAGGCTGAGCAATTGGCTGCTACAGGCACGAGTGCAGCAGATATGAAACGAAAAAGTGCTGGAGATGACATGTTGCTTTTAAGGGAATCTTTGATGTCCTGTAACTAATTGTGTGCATAGATTTCTGTGAACAGGATGAGGTTATACCTATCTAAATGCTGCGGGAGGGGGGTGGATTCCCCTGTGGTGGGCTTCATTTCTGCTTGGACAAGCTGGCACTAGCCAAGTCCAGGCTTGGAAAAGGGCTCCACACAGAAGGCCACTGAAGTCTGTTTTCTTACAAGCTTAAAGTGCTGTGGTGGGTACATTTCTGGGGATGGCGGGAGGTGCAAGGGAGCACTGCAAATGTCTGGATCCAAGGAACCAAAAGCAGGATGGATTCAAGAACAAGCAACGGGACAAGATGCAGTCTGCTTCACCCTTGCAAGGGAATTGTGTTTTGCAGTGCCACGCCAGTCCTGTACCCGTGTTTCACATGGTCAGACTGCACACTGCCAACAGACGTGAAGCACACATCCCTAAATTCAGTGGGGACACGTGTCAAGATGAATGAACGACCCATCGGGTTTCTCCACTTCTCGGCACGTTTGCTGCGCAGATGGAGATACACCACTGTCCATCATGTTTGAAGTGGGAAACGCTAGTGTAACACCAACACAGGCACCCCAAAAACAACCTCAAAATCCAAAGTGTTGTTATATTTATCATGCCAACCTATTCCTGCTGGGGAACACAAGCAAGGACACAGAAACAAGATAGGGTAGGCGCAGGGGGCCCAATTCCTGTTACCCCTTTAGGTATCCACACCCAGGCAGGCCAGACACAGAAGGGAGTGGTGTGGAACACAAACCATGTGAGCAAAGTGCAACTAGAAACTTACTCAGCAAGGCAAGTTTTGTGATTCTACAGATCGCCACAAGGTAACTGCAGTACATGTGCAGACTTTACAGAAGCAGAAATGGCTCGTTTTTTAACTTGTATACTGGCAGAATGAAATTTCAGAAAGCAGGCCTTTTACGAAGCAGCTGACTTCCAAAGGGCAGTTCTCAAATGAGCCACTGTTGTCTCCCCCCCCCCATCACCTCGATTTACCTGCTATATGTTCCTGTTTGGGGCAAATTCCTCTAGATGACGTTGACAAACAATCGTCATCTTCGGGCGTGACCTGGATGCCAACCTCCACAGGATTAGATGCTTTTCGCAGCTCGCTCGGCAAGGGCGAAGGAGGCTTATCCACACCTTTCTCTAGGCAAAGAGTGCCGTTGCATTGCTTTCGTTTGTGCTCAATAAAAATAAGGATGTCCCCCAAAGGGAAGTTCATCTGACACTGGCCACATGTGAGGAGGTCGTGGTCCCCTTCTGGAGCTCCCAGCGTACCATGATCCGGCTCGTCATCCGTGAGAATGGCTTCAATCGGTTCGGCTGCAGTTGGGGGAACAAAGAGAATGACTGTCAGGAACCTCAGAGAATTGGAAGGAGCGGGACTACGGGAAGGTATCTCGCCCTAGGCTCACGTGCAGCGGGCCAAACTTTTCCAAAATGAGAAAAATTGGGGAGTTATGCTGCCTTGCCTCTAATGCAGCATGGGGTTGGGGGCACACTGGGGGGAAAAGTGAGGGGACACCCACTGTACATTACAAAGGACAACTGACACTCCAGTCACAGCCTCAAGACCTTTCCTTAAAATAAACGGCATCAAACATGTCCTTATTTGAAAGACCACTTATGCTTTTAACATTATTAATTTTTTAAAGACAAACAAGATTAAGCCACTGCAATCCTGACCACAAGATAGCAAAAGAGCTTCACTTTTATAGCACGTTGTCATTCAACAGGAAAACGAATTTATCAGCGATGCTGAACAGTCCTATATCTAAACAAAAAGCAGCTATGATGCAAATAACCAAGGATATGAGCTCTTTTTCGCCCTGGCTCGCCCTCTTGGCCTCTATTTTTAGACAAACCTGCTTTAAAAAAAAAAACCCACAATGAATGAAATTAGAACATTGTTCTTAAGCACTTCAAAAGTGCTTTAAGAACTATCCACTGATATTCCCATGAACACGGGGGGTTTTCTTGGAGTTTGGGGGCTTGTTTACAGAACTGCATGCATGTTTATTTTCTTCACATGAACCTCCTGTTTTCAAAGGATGTGCTGCTTTGTGATGAAGGTGTATGTTCACATGCACACAAAAACCTAGGCCGGTTATAATCACAAAATTTGGCAAAGGGCTGCAAGTGCTTAACTTTGCAGTCTCTCAAAAGGTATGTTTCTGTGTTCTGTATCATATGCACACAGCCATACTTAGAATTTCCAACAACAGTTCTATAAAACAGTGAAGCAAATAGACAAACCAGAACATCTCAAAGGTCTCATATATCATCTCATTATATTGTTTAAAAACCTGGTTTTTATTTTTAGAAAATAAATTACATATTACCAACTTACTGACAATTGGTAATACGAATTTGGAGAAATAAGATGCTGCTAGAAAGCTAAGAAAATAACCCAATACACCTGAAATGGGGTCTCTGCCACCCCCACCCGGAAAGGAATGCCTCAGCCATTCAGAACAGCTTAGCACTGGGTAGTACAAACCAGTGTAAAGATGACTGGATTCTCGCTTTCATAACCACCATGGTAAATCTTTTCTTTAGATGTGAAGTACCTTTCCTAACATTGTCAGAAGTGGTTCATTTCCTCAACAAGCTCAGAAGGCACCATTAAGAAAGAGCTTGTTTCTGCACACCCTACTGCCACTGGATAGCTTAACGAGGCAGATCCGTATTAGAAAGCCCTCCTCACTCCTCTCACTTTTTGCTACTTTCTGCTGAATTATCTTGGCCAAAAGAGCCAAGCAGCATTCATGATTCCAGCTTCCAGAGTGAGCGAGAATAAAGAAGAGACATCCAGCCTGCGGTGGGTTTCCCTAGAGCTCCCTTCGACAACTTCCAACAACAAATGAATGTGGAGACGCATTCGTACGAAGTATAAAATGCTGCCAGTTAAGGGAAGTGTGGCAGGATGCAGCCCTTCAACAGTTAATCAGCCTGACCTTCTTTAGCATGCAGCCAATTTCACATTTAATGAACTTAAAGCCACAGAGAATCAAAAAATAGATTTTAATTTGACTGCACCATATTGGAACAGATTTTGAAAAAGTACCCACATACAAAAATACACCATGCTCAGGTTAAAATTATTTCAGTCCAATCTAAGGAGAATATTGAAAGAATGAGGGACCTGGAATAATTCTCAAGCATACAGAACAACATAATATTTTACAAGATCTCGTACTTTGGACTCCAAATGGAATCCTCCTTTAATTCTTCAGTCAGTAATTTCTTTCAACCAAAATTACTCCTAAATTAATCTTAGGTTGATACAGAAATATATAAAGATGGCATTCTTATGCTGAAAAATCTACCACACAGAAACATTTCATCCACTTTTGGGCCGAAGACACTGTATTGACAGTAATATGTATGTTATTGGTTAGTAATCCAAAAGAAAGGGACAGACTGAGGTGAGTATTATTTCACGGGGGGGGGGGGAGTAAAAATCTGGTCGCACTTTGCCAAAGTTGCAATCAACAAAGGATAGGTTGTCCCAGCATGCATACATGTACACACACAGACACATATAATTTCCATGCAAACTTTGGAGTTTAATCCAAGCATCAAAACAATTAAGTATTTGTTTGAAACAGAACCTCTGCCCAGTAATTAGTCAAATGGTAATTTTTTTAGGCTTCATGTTTTTGTGAAATCAGTAACCCAATTTAGAAAGACAAATCAGAATCTTTTTCCAGGCAGTTAAAAGTCAAATTAAACAATAGTCGCCCAAACAGAAAGGAAGCTTATAAAGTCCTTTGAAACCAAGCTGGATTCTCAGCAAAAACCAACAATTCAAGTGGTAACTCAAAAGCGTTGATTATACCTTTGCATTTCAGCCAATTATTTTTATAGGAGCCAAAGTTCTTGAAATAACAAGATATTCAAATATACAGATATAAAACCTGTACCCTCCTCAATTTTTTACACTCTTAACATAAATGATTGCTAATTAAGAAGAATGATAGGGCAGGGTATGAAAAAGGATTCGTAGTCTGGCTCGTTAAAAAATGTTTGGTTTCCTATCACAGAGAATGCAGAGGCAAAACTGTGCTGCTTTTATTTGCAGCCAGGTGAACAATATAAAAATCTAGCCATTACTGTAGCTTATTTGCATGATAGCTTTTCCTTTGAATAAACCACCACTATCACATTGAATCCTTCTGCTCAAGCCAATAGATCCGTAAGAAAACTAGGTATTTACAGCTGTTCTTTATAAGGTCAACCTAAAAGGCGGGAGCTTCAAATTTAAAAACAAAGCCCTGTGCTGGTAACTATGATTCCAGGTTTTCACTTTTTTCCCAAAAAGTGGCATTAAGAAAGAAAGAGCAGAGGAAAGAAAAGGAGGCACTTTTGAGTTCAGTAAATGTGTTTTTCATTTTTGAAATGTGGATTTGCAAGAATAAGGAATCCAGACTCAGTTGTAGACGATGAAGAAGAACCAGATAAGTCTTCCCCACCCTGCAAAAATGTGTTTTGTTTTGTTTTTTGTTTTTAACTAATAAGCAACTCTTCAGCAATCCGCTTTCACATTTTCCTCCAAGTGTAACTGAAGGTTAGTTTAACAGAAGACACATGTGAGAAACAAGCTAGGAAGAGAACAGGCAGGATGGATTGGAAAACACTGAGAGAAAAGAAATAAAGAATATAGTGTGTCTGGATGAGCAGAGAGCCTAACTTGGGGGGAGTATTAGGCAGGGAAACCTGCTCTACAAACAAATCCAAGTCAAGGTATTTTCCTGCCTTTTGAGTTGGGCCAGCCTTCTCAATGGGTTCTACTGAAATAAATCAAAATCAAAATAACCCCCTTTTTTTCAAAACCCACAAATGGGGGGAAGTGGGGATGTGACAGGGAACAAAAGCCTCTCCCTTACAGTCAGCCCAAAGTTGCAGGAAAGATACTAGCATCCTGGCACGTTTGCAGAGTTTTCCTTGGTTAGCAATGTATAAGGTCCAGGAGTAAGAAAGGAATTCGTATAATGGGGAGGGGTGTTCTTTTTTCATACTGCACGTTTCGCACGGAAGTGTTATTGATTTAAAACTTTATTTACAAAGGAGCAAAATCAAGTACCAAGTTGTTAGTCCTCCTGATCAACCGAGAATTCTTCTCAACAGGGGTTATTACTGGGTAAATAGGAGGCATCACCACAAGAGAAAAAGCTTTAACTCTGTGAGGGAGGTAAGCTGGAGAAGGAGAGATATTTTGGTCCTTTCCCAGTATCAACACGAGGTAAAAATTAAGAACAAAGAAAGAGAGGTTGCATTATTGCATGGCAAAAGAAGAAAAAGAGAAAAGAAATCTCTAAACACAACCACGCTCACCCCTCCTTGCTGCTCCAAACGGAAAAATGTAGAAATTAAAAGATGTGAGCAAAACGGATCAGGTTCAAGTTCGTTGGGCTTTCTTGATCTCTTTCTGCCTCCTAGTGGCTGAAAGTTGAATTTTTTTTAAAAAAAAGCAAGAAAAGAATTGTTTTAACCCAACTCTCACACGGATCTCTCTCTCTCTCTCTCTCTCTCTCTCTCTCTCTCTCTCTCACACACACGCGCGCGCGCGCGCGCAGATACACAAACTGCTCTTTCCCCATTCTGAGCCCCACGGTTCAGAGTTGGAGGTGGAGGCCGGAAAAATAAAAAAAATGATATGGTCAGTCTACGATTTGGCAAAATAAACTTGCACGTCTGTACGTTTTAATGTTATTTTTTATGGTTCGATCTCTAGGAATTTGGGGTGGGTGGCACACCAAAGGGCCTAAAACGCGAGAGGGGGGGTCGATGCAAATCCTAAGTCTTTCCATTCGAAAACAGCCACTTAACCCTGTCCTTCCTCCCCGCCCCCCGCCAGAAGATGGCATATTTGAGATAAGAGTCAAATTAGGTTATCAGTTAGGCTGAAGGGAGGGAGGCGAAAGAATCTCGCAACGTGTTTGGAAGGCGATACCAGCGGGTCCCAATGGGTGACAGTTATGTTGCAACGCGCAACATACCGTTTTGTATTTCCAAAAAAGTCAGAAATCCACCGGAAAGGGAAGGAGCGAAAGAGAGAGAACGCGCGAAGTGGCTGTTTTGTTTTGTTTTTTAAGACAACTTTATCCCATGCAATGTGGGTGACTTTATCAGTGGGTGGTTTCAATTAAACGTGAATGTTGCAACAACAACTAAAAACTGACACTGGAGTGCATTGCAATGTAGGCGAGGTGGTGGGGGTTGGAAATTGCAATGAAAACTTTTGCCACGGCTAAGAGCTTTCATCTTGCAAAATCAAAAAAGGGAAAAGAGTATCCAAACAGTCGAAAGAAAAGCATGCATTTCTCTCTCTCTCTCTCTCTCCTGCAAACACAACTTGTACCGTTTCATCCCTTCTTCCTCCTCTCTCTCACCCCCTCTACCGCCCCCCCCCACCGCCGCCCGCCCGCCTTCAACCAACCATCTCAAGTCCACGCCAGACTTCCCTTTTGTGTTTGCAAGCAAGAGCTTTTGTGCACGGCTTGGCTGGGAGACAGACAGAGGAAGCCGATGCGTTGCAACAAAATTTAATTTTAAATGCACGTGCAAATAAAAAGAAGGGGAGAGAAAGAAATAAACTGTCCTAAGTTCCTAAGATTGAGAGCAATTGTTAGTTATGGGAGAGGGAAAAATAATTTCCTCAGCGTTTGCAGAGACAACAGAACCGGATCTAGGCTCCTTTTCAAAAAAAAACTCTAAAGCCTGCACGCGTTATGTCGGTATAGGCGTTGCATGCATTTTCCCCTCTGCAACGCGTTTGTTCTGCTTGCCTGTTTTGCTGGCAGCCACTCCGTAACACACGCGGCGCTTGTAAACAGTCAGACACGAGATTTTTCCCAATCAAAATCCACTTCCACTTTTTTTCTTGAAAATCTTCCAAAAAATAGTACGAGGGAGAGGAGGGGAATTCCTCTCGCGCGCGCGCACACACACAACACAAAACACGCTCCCCGATCTCGGCATTTTAGCTGCGTGCATGCAAACCCAAGTTTCTGCAAAGAGGAGTTCGGGGGCTGAGAGGGGAGGGGGATGAAATACGACTGGAGAGAGCAGGCGGTTGATTGGGGACGTGTGGGGGGGGCATCGTGGTGCTGCAAACGGAGAAAGCAGCCGCTCTTCGGCCAAAAACAGACACCACGTCTGCCCTCTTCCCTTGCCCTTTCGCTGTGGGGAGTTGGGGGGGTGAGAGAGAGAAAGGAGCGGGACACGCAGAGAAGGGTGGGCGATCTCCCACCACCGCCACCCCCAAGATCTCGCCAGTGGAGACAAAAGAAAGGGTCCTCTTTTGCACCTTTTACTGTCTAAAAGAACAGGGGAGGCAGGAACATGGAGGGAGCAAGGCGGGGGGTCCCTTTTTAGGAGCGTCTCTATACGACAAGGCGCTGCTCCTCGGGATCCGTGTGAAAATAAGAGAATCTACTCCGATTTAAGCACACACACATTTCTGACTTTCCCCCCTCCCTTCTTCAAGCCGTTCGATTCCTCTCGCGCGCGCTCTCCTTTGCAAAGCGAAAAGAAAATCTCTTTGCCTGCTTTTTAAGTTGAAATTCATTTGTAAGCTGCAGGCGCGCGCGACACACAGAGCGAGAGCGAGAGAGAACCGCATGCACGCTCTCTCTTCCGTCAAAATACCTATCGCAGAAAGGGAGAGAGAAATAAATGGAACTTTGAGGGAAAGCGCGAGTGCCGAAGGAGAAGATCGTATTGGAAAAGTAGTCTTTTTCAAAGTGCTAGTGATGCAAAAGGAGAGGAAGGGGGAGCCGAGTTTTAAGGTGAGCCGCTTCTTTTTCTTTTCTGTGTGCTCCTTCCAAAACTTATTTTATATAGCTATATATTTATGCATGCAGGCTGGGTGGCTGGCTGGCCCAAAATGATTTGCACCTGATTTTGCAAATGCACGAAATGTGCAAGAGAAAAAAAAACGCAGATCCGATTTCCTGGAATCCTTTCATTCCTATTATTTTTCTGAAGGAGGGGGGTTAAAGGTAGGGAGACGAGGTGTTCTTACTTACGTGAAAATTCCCGTTTGCTTAAGTGCTGGGGTTTCCCTTGCTTGCGGCGAGACATCGTGGTGTGTCGGCTGCTCGGGCGGGCGCGCACGGAGCTCTTTCGCTCGGATCACATCGGGAAGCGCCGGGTGAGCTAGGCAGGAGACTCCAGAGAAAATATCTTCATCAATGTCTTTTGACATCCAAAATAAATTAGAAATAATACAAAGATGGCGCGGGGGAGATGAATTGTGGGAAAGCAGTCATGGCTTTTCTTTTGCTTTTGCTTTTTTGCTTTTTTTTGCTTTTTTTGCTTTTTCCTTTTTTTTTCCTTTCTGTGCAAGAGAGGGAGAGAGAGAGAGAGAGAAAGAGAGAGAAAGAGGAGAGAGAGAGAAAGAGAAAGGAGAGAGAGAGAGAGAAAGAGAGGAGAGAGAGAGAGATGAAAAAAATGGCAAAAGCCCCCCTGAGCTGCAAGTTCAAGTGCGGACGTGACGTCCCTGCGAACTTGAACGTCAAGCGACTGGATGGACACAGACATACAAAACAGGGGCAGGTCTAAGCGAGAGGAAGGGGGAGGAGGGAAGCCGCGCGCCACGCCAATGGACAGTCACCGGGGGCTGGACATCATCAAGCGGAGGAGTGAGGCGGGGGAGCCCGGCGCAGGGCAAGCCAATGGCCAGTGATGGGGTGGGGGCGCGCGGGGGGAGGGAGGGGTGGCGCGCGGGGAGGGAGAGGGGGTTACCCTCCGAGGCATCAGGCACACGTTGCCGCCGCCGCGCCGCCGCTCCGGAGGGAGGCTGCTGGAAGGCGCGGGGCGGAGGGAGGCACCCGGGAGAGGCGTGCGTAAAAGCGCGCAACAGCCCGGAGCGTGCGAGCGAGCGAGCGACCGGCGGGAAGAATGGAGGCAGGGAGGCGCGTCGGGGAGCGGCGAGGACCTGGGGCCGGCGAGGAAGCGGGGCGGGGGGCGAGGCGTTCAGGGAAGCCAGGCGGGGATTATTAACGATACATCTGGCGGCATCTTCATCATCGTCGCCTCGGCGCGGGGAAGGGGGAAGAGAGTTTGGGGCGGCCTGGGGGAGAGGGCGCGGGCGAGCGAGCGAGCGAGCGAGCGGAGAAAGGCAGCGAGAAAGCGAGAGCGGAGAAAGACAGCGAGGGCAAAGTCCAGCGCCGCTGGGAGCTCATCTTTCTTCCGAGAGAGACGCTCGCGATTAATTGCTTGTTTGGTGGTGGTGATGGGGGGCGGCAAGCTGACACCCAGAGGTGGGGGGTTATACAGGCGGAATGAGACCTGGGGTTCGCCTCCAGCCCCGCAGTTCTGATCCCCCCTTGGAGACGTCCCTGGGGAGCGCTGGAGGCGAGAGACAGGGCCAGGCCATGCGCGCGCGTCCCGGCTCCGGCATCCAGGTACAGTGCCTCGCTTCCTGGAAGCTCCACTTCGCTCGCCATGGCTCTTGTCCATGGGTCGAGTTACCTGCTCTGAATGTCTCTAACCCGCTCGCTCGCTCTATCTCTTTCTCTCTTACTTAAGAAAACGACACCCGTGCGACTGGCAATCGCCATGTGTTTCGCTTGTGCGTTAATGTGAATAAACTACCCCAAGCTAAGGAATGAATGCAAAATAAACAGTCTCGTGTACCCGATCCGCGTTAAGTTTGAATCCACAGTACGCACGCACACATTTCCTTTAAAATGAGCACTGGCGGAGAGTAAACTGTTTTAGGAGGGCGCGATCCTGTGGCTCATCTGGCGGTAGACCCACTGAGCTGGGTAGACAAGAGCGGACTTTAAAGAGGTTTGTCCTGCGAATTCATGGCGTGTTCTCGCACTGGGAAGAAGGCGAAGTTGCTGCCCGAGACCCATTTTCGTGGGACGAAGCCGCCCGAAACAGGCGAATTTACTTCCGAGTAGACTGGCCTCAGGTCAGATCGCAGAGATCGCTGCTCGCGTCTCTCTCAGTCCTTGGTCCTTCAGGCTCGCCGCTTCTATCCAGTCCAGGCACAGCAAGCAGCTGGGGGCGGGACGAGGCCGAGTTCCCCCAGGGGTGCCCCTTAAAACAAAAGCTAATTGCTTTCAAAATTAATAATAAGGACACAATCAGAAAACTTCGAAGGGGGTGGAAGTTGACCTGTTGCAGCCTTAAGACGACTTTGCTCTTGGAAGAAGTCCCAGGGAAGCCAATAGGAATACTCTGGAGCAAGTGAGTTGCGGATCCCACTTAGGCATGGTGAAGGGCTAGGGTACAATGCACTGTACAAAATACGTAAGGAAGAGAAACTGCTTTTAAGTAAAAGAGAGGGTGGATGTTGGAGAGGGGTAATTTTTTTAAAAAAAGACAGAAAATCGACCAAAACTAACAATAAGGAAAGGGGAACACCTAAGAAGGAAAGAAAAGGGCGTAACATTTCGAAAGGTGAGAGAGAGAATAGATGAAATAGACAAGGGGGACGTGGAATTGACAATGTTGAAGCAAAAGAATCTTGACTTCGGCTGTTCTGTTCCAAATGTGTGTTCAGATACAGACTAGGGACGGGGGAAAGCAGCATAAATAAATCAATTTAAAAGGGGAATGGGGAAGAAGCTCCACAAGTAGAGAAAGGGAGAAAGTTTACGGAAAGATCCCTAAGCTTTTCTTCATGGTGAGTCCAGCAAAATGTTGGAAGGGTATTGGGAGGGAGGGAAAAACGCAAAGCCAAGCAAACAGACCGTCCAGGATTAAAAGATTATTATTTCAGATTGTAACACAGGCAGCTTTCTTTACAGAAGGCAGAAAAGAAGCGTCAAAATGGGTGTGGGATGCGTGAAGCGGAAGAAAGGCTACGCGACTTTATGCCTTTCTCGCTCCCCTTCCCCCACTCCAAATGCCCAGTTAGGGGACACCTGGAAGAAAAGAGGGCGCCGGGTTGGCTCTAATTGCAAAAGAACTGGGGGGATCCAAGGGAAGGGTGACTGGGCGGGCAGAGAGGCTGAACAAGGCAGGCCGAGCGAAGGCGAGAAGTCACTGCTTGTCGCTGGAGTCTTGCCCCTTCGGGCGTGCTCATCCTAAGCGTGTTCGCGTGGGAATGAGTCCTGCTGGGGAGTTTTACCCTTTTACCTGGGGCTGCGAGTTTGGCTGCTTTATACCCACGTAATTATGCCTGCAAAAATGCAACCTGATCCTATGGAAGAGTACTGGGAGTAAGATCCATGAGAGTAAGTACGCATAGGATTGCAGTCACAAACGGTTTCGCACGCACGCACGCTCTCGCCAAGGCACGGATGCCTATTCACACAGGCGCACAGACGCCCAAGTCCCCTAGAGCCGGGCTGGTTCTCGTAGGCTGAAAAAGCGGGGCGCGTGCCCCGTGCAAGGCCGGATCCACGCAGACGGCCTCGTCGGCACAGCAGGGCTGGTTCTGGCGCTCGTGCAGGGGAGCCAAGCTCGGTCTATCCTGCTGGTAGGCATTCATACCCCTACTGCCCGTACAACGGCGCCTGTGCTCCTCCACTGCTCTCTCACACGCAGCTCCCTGGCACGCGACCAAGCGGCTGGAATGCCACACCTCTGCTCTTGCACACCAGCGAAAACTTTCAGGCTGAGAAAACCTGCCCGCCCCTCCGAGCAGATAGCACTGTTCTTGTCTACCTACATGGTCTCTGCCGGGGATAAAGAAGGGGCCGGTTCAAGTGCCCTCGGACAGAAAAATTCGATGCCTGGTCCCCTCTTTCGCAAGCATGAGATGCCCATTAACCTCCAAATAATTAACCTCCAAATAATTTAGTTGGGACCAAAGTTGCTCTGCCAGTGCACAGCTGCTCTGCCAATTTTCACCAGCACCTCTCTCTCGGTCTCCCCCACCCCCGCTCGCCTCATGCGCACACACCTTTCCTTCGCAAACGCTCGCATCCTTTCTTTCCCTCCCTCTCTTCCTCGGGCTCCTACACACAGGCACAAACCGGCCTTCTCCGATACGAATTGGCAGCACTCCTCTCTCCACCCACATGTACGCGCGCGCGAGCGCGCGCACAGCCCTCCCCGAACCCGGATCCGATGGCGTTAAGGGGAAGGAGAGGAGGGACCCGGAGAAAGTCCTGCTCGCAACGCGCGCTCTTGAGGACGCTCGAGAATTCCTCGCGGGATCGGCGCATCCCGGGAAGGAGCGACTTGCCTGGACTGTAAGCTGGCGGGGAGGGCTGCCACGCGGAATGGCCAGTACTGACATTGGTCCGGGGCGGGCGAGAGGAAGGGGTTGGAGCTAGGACCCCCGCCCGGCTTCCTTTAATGCGCGAATAAACTTCTGGAGAGCGCGCTGCCTGTAGGATTTAGAACTGCAACTCGCCCGCGCGGGCGCTTGAAGCAGGGAGAGAGCGCGCGGCTGTTGTTACGCAGTTCGGTCCCGCGTATTTATTCCGAAGAATGACCCTCTCGCTGCCTTGGGCTCCCTCCGGCGTGAAGGGCTCGGGAATGCCGCCTTCTTCAGTCGGACTCGGCATCCTCTCCTCGGAAGGAAGCCCAGATCAATGAGTTAGCTGGGTTTTACTCAGACCAAATAACTGTGCGTGCGGTTACCGTGCAAGGATGCGCGTCCTGCCGCCGTTACGTGGGAGTCAAGCCCTGCTGGCGGCAGTGGCCTTGACTCCAGAGAAAACCTCTCCAGCACAGGGTCCGGCTGCAGTGCTTGGCACCCTTCCCGGGGAGCAAGCCCCACCGAAATGCGTGGGGCTTGCTTTGAGCAGCCGTGGCTACCGAGTCACGCTGCTTCGCCAGAGCCAGGTGAGAGCCAGGCCGGCGCCGATTTATGGGCGAGAAGGGGACCCCGCCGTGGGCTCTCCCGCGTCGAGTGGAAACAGACCAGCCCCTGGTCAGTTTCAAGCGCCGCTGCTCTGCGGCGCGGCGCCTCGTGTTTGAGTCCAGCGGTACAGCAAGGGCTCCCCCTAGAATCGTCTGGCTGGATTCTCTCCGCGCCTGAGCGGGGGGGGGGGGAAGGGGGCCTGATTCGCCGAGCCCCCTTCGCCCTGCAGCCCTCCCGAGCCCCAAAGGGCGCGATGCGCGCACGCACCGAGCGCTGGCAGGGCCCGCGGGGAAGGCGAAAGGACCGAGCGGGCGCCTGGAAGGGAGCGCTCGTCCGCGGCACCAGGGGGCCCTTTCCCCTTCCTTCAATTCCTCTCCCGACGATTCCTCCCCACCGCTTTGCGTTTCGCGGCCAAGAGCTGTTGGTGGTGTAAAATGACCCCCTCCTGGATTTACCTTAATGACTGTGTGCGTGAAAATAGATAAGTGGATGGAGGGATAAGATGGGGGGAAGAAAGGAAAGGCGACACAGAGGCAGGAAAAAGATTAGATTCTGGAAGGGGTACAGAGGGCATCCGCGG